CAGTCAATGTACCCTAAAGACTGCTGGTCCTTACTATTTGCCTTATAGCTACCCCAGGCCCTTCCATCTACCCTCCATCTGTAGCTGGGTTGTCTCCTCTATTTAGAATATAAGTTCATTAAGAGCAGGGACTGTATCATTTTCTATGTGTATCCCTAGAGCTTAGCATAAGATACGGCACACAGCAGGTGCTTAATAAAGGCTCTTTCAGGAAGTTAAAAAAAAATGGCTCCTGACTCCGAGTCCTCTGATAAAGTACTTAATGAATCATGTGAGGTATAGTGAGACCATATATTCCCCTGCTCTAAGACTGTGATAATTCCCCTCTACTAGACTTCTGGGAACATCTGGTCCCCTGGGAAAGCAAAGCTGTGAACTCAGCCATTAACAACTGCTGAGCATGGAGATGGTTGACCCTTTCCCTGAGCATCAGGGCACTGCTTTTGGTTTTATTACTGTGCCTTTGTAATTGCAATTTCTTGCAGTAAAAGGTATTCTAGACCATAATGAGAATGTGTTTCCTTTGGGGTCATGTACAAGTAGAGGAAAAGAGTCTTAATGGGAAATGAGGCACAAGCTAAGTTTTTAGAGATTTGCCTGGAGTTCTGAGTGGGGTCAAAGTAACAAGACAACATTATATATTTCAAACCCTAGACCAGGGGTTCTTAACCATTTTTGTGTGTGATGAACCCCTTGGCAGTCTGGTGAAGGCTACTGTCTCAGATAATAGGTTTTTTAAAAAATTTTTATTATTGTTTTTAATTCTTTCTTTCTAATTTTGAGTTCTAAAATCTCTCCCTCTCTACCCTACCCATTGAGAAGGCAAGCAATATATCAATTATTCGTACAAAATCAGGAAAGGATAATGTCCTTAAATGCCTAAAATAAAATACAAAGGATTGCAAACAAAACCCATTACGCTGAAATATAGATATCAATTTTTTTTTAAATGTTCATAGACCCCCGGTCAAGAACTACTGCCTAAGATCAAGCATAGAGGAACCGGAGAAAGGGAGGGGTGACAGGTGCTTGCTACAGTTAAGACAAATTCCAGATCTATAATTACAGAATCAGCCCCTCACTTTTCAAGGATATCCAACCAACCTCCATACTCTATTAGGCTAATACTTGGGCCAATCCTCTTGCCAGCGAGGAAGAAGGTCTTTATTCTGGAACAGATCTGGGGGTTTCAGAAGATCACATGTTCAATAACAGTGATGCGATGGCCAAAAAAATAAAATGCAATCTTGGGCTGCAATAAGACAAACCTGGCTTCCAGGAATAGGGGGAGAGTTCCTAGCCCCCCTGTACTCGGCTCTCATCAGAATATATCTGGAGTATTGCGTTCAGTTCTGATCACCAAAGCTTTGAAAGGAAAGGAGAGTGTCCAGAGGAGGGTAAGCAGGCCTGCCAAAGGCTCTGAGTCCAGGTCAGGTTAACATCAACAACTGGGAGTGTTTATCCCAGAGAAGAGAAGACTCAGGGAAGACAAGATTGCTATCTTTGCGTATCTGAAGGGCAGTCATATGGAGGAGATATAGTGAAACTGAACTTACTTTCCCAAACCACACATGCACTACCAAGTGGGGTCCCCAGAGCTCAGCTAACAGCAACTTCTGATCTTTCAAGACATCACAAGGCCTGAAGAATCCAAAGGTGAGAAGACACACACTAGAGGCAGCCCCATCCCTGTCACAGGCCTGCCTAGGAGGCCATGGGCTCCCTGGTTTCATAAAGCCTTCAGAGAAGAGAGGACCCAAAGCTCTTTCCCCACTTGGAGGCCCATGGAAGTTCATGAACGCAACCAGGAAAGAAAAGAGACTGGGATCGAGTTGTTAGGGCTTTTTGGCTGCATACTCAGCTCTAGCTCAGAAGTCAGCCAACAGGCCCCCCTTTCCCACACAGTAAGTGTAATGGTCACCCTCACAGAATACCTGCACCTGCTCTAAAGAAGAAAGCAGGGCCCTCCACTACACATGCCTGGAAGCAGGCTCACCAAACATCCATGAGGGAATACTGAATCAAGGAGAGTAGGCTGTCCATGATCCTCACAGCTGTCCTGGGCCAGTCCCCCCTTATATATATACCCCCTTATGTATGTACCTGCGTACAGAACCAGAAACAATGGGGAGAAGTTACAAAAAGACCAGAAAAATTTCCTAATAATTAGAGCTCTCCAAAAGTAGAAAATACTAGATCAAGAGGTGTCAGGGTCCCCATAGAGATCTTCAGCAGAGGCTGGACAACCATCTGTGTACAGGTTTGACTGGATGGTTGCTGAGGCCCCCTCCAATTCTCAAATTCTGGGATTCTGCTTTGTTCTGCTATCTCCTCCAAGTGGGGATTCTCATCTACATTTACAGGAGAGGCAGGGGAACAGGGCTCCCATCAGTTTAAACACCCAGGGGACACAGCCCTGTTCCTTCCTATTTGGCTTCCTTTTCTCCTCTCCCACAAGCCCCAGGGAATCACCCACCCTGTTTCCTTGACTCATTACCTTTATGCATTTACCCACTAGTGCTCCCACTCACCCAGAGCCAGGTTCACAACTTCTCCCTTCCCCTGCTGTTGCTGGAACAAGCACACAACTCATCTTTTGATTTTTCCATAAGATTTTTACTGCTAGTCAATATTCACCCACCTGTCTATATACCTTAAGAGTTTTCAGGAGTTGCCTGAGCTCAGAGAGCTTCAGTGACCTTTGTATGGCTAGCTAGTCTCAGAGCTAGTAAATGTCAGAGGCTGGATTTCAACCCAAGCCCAGCACGCTGTTCATGAGCCATGTCGCCTCTCACACACCAATAACAGTTACAAGTAAGTGCACAAATATAGACTACTCAAAGGATCTATAATTTTGTCATTGTGGGGAAATCACAGCATGGGAGCTCTCTCCACCAAGGCTCATAGAAAGTTGGACAACCAGACTCTGATTTAATAGGTAGGTCCTAGAGGCACCTAGAGTTTAAACAACTTACCCAAGGTTACATAGTGAGTAACTGTCCAAGGCAGGATTTCAACCCAGCTCTTCTGACTCTACAGCCCACATTATATACACGACCCTACAGCTGCCACTACCAAGGAAATTCAGGGGAACTTAAAACAACAAAACTTCAATTCAATAAATATTAAGTACCTACTGCAGTCGATCATATACTTCTCCAGGATATTGTCTTCTCTAGGTTTTTATGACACTGTTCTCTCTGGGTCCGCCCCCTACCTATCTAATGGTTCCTTTGCTGGCCCTTTATCCAGATCATGGCCACTAACCATGGTTGTCCCTTAAGGCTCTATTCTGGGCTCTCTTTTTTACTTCTATTTTATCTCTTTTGGTCAACTCATCAACTCCCATGGGTTCAATTATCAACTCTACAAATGATTCTCAGATCTATATATCCAGCTCCAACCTCTCTCCCAAGCTACAGTTCTTAATATCATCAATTGCATTTTGGACATCTTGTCCTGGATGTCCTGTAAGTACCTCAGACTCAATGGGTCCAAAACAGAATTCGTTATCTTTTCCCCAAAAACTTTCTCTTTTACAAAATATCCTTTCACTATAAAAGAATTCACTATTCTCCCAATCTCTCAGGGTGATTTACAAGCACAGAATCATCTTGGCTCCTCACTTACACTCATTACACATACCCAATCTGTTCCCAAATCTTGTCATTTCTACCTGTGTAACATTTGTCATTTTCATCCCCTTCTGTGACCCTGGGCAAGTCACTTAACCTTGTTTGCCTCAGTTTCCTCATCTATAAAATGAGCTGGAAAAGGAAATGGCAAACTGCTCCAGTTTCTTTGCCAAGAAAACCCCAAATGGGGTCATAAAGAGTCACACACGACCAAACAACAACAGGACAGGACTTTCTCTATTCATACAACTGCCACCCTGGTCCAGCCTCCGTCACCTCATGTCTGCACCATTACAATAGACTTTTGGTTGGTTTCCCTGTCTCATGTCTTTCCCTCTAATCCATTCTCCTCTAGGTGACCAAACTGATCTTTCCAAAGCTCAGGTCTGAACATGTCACACCCTACCTAGTAAATTCCAGCCACTCTACGTTACCTCCATGATCAAATACTCAATTTTCCCTCCATATACTCTACAATCTGGTGACACTGGCCTCCTTGTTGTTCCTCAGACACAACACTCTAACTCTCAACTCTGCGCCTTGCAGTTGGTGGACTTCCTGCCTAGAATGCTTCTCTTTCCTCACATCCACCTCCTTCAGGACTCAACTTAAATCTCATTTCCTTCAAGAAGCCTTTTCCTGTCTCCCATACCACCAATGTCTTTCTTCTGAGATACATCTAATTTTATTTATAACACACAAACACACAACATGTGGCTAGGGGCTAGGGACATGTGTATTTATCTACCTATTCACTCATTCATTCATTTATTGTGTCTCTCATTAAAATGTGGGTTCTTTAAAGGGAGGGACCATATTTTGCCATTTTTTGCATCCTCAGTGCACAGAACAGTGGCTGGAACATGAATTATTATTACTATGTGCAACAAAAACACAGTAATGATACAAAATTTCCAGAAATCTAAAAAAAAAACCCTACTAGAAAGATTCTTTCATCTCCACTGGAACATGAATTATTATTACTACATGCAACAAAAACACAGCAATGATACAAAATTTCCAGAAATCTTAAAAAAAAACCCTACTAGAAAGATTCTTTCATCTCTACTGGAACATAAATGGATATAGGTCACACTTTCCACATAGCCCTAAAGCCATAAATACTCCACTGAGTTACCGACATTGCAAACAAACAACCCAAACTTCCTTCCCTCAAGCGGGTTACAATCCAAGGGCCACATCCGACTCAACTTTAAGCTCTTAACTTCTGAAAACTGGCAGGAACCAAGAAACAATGACCCACTAGCTCTTCAAGACATTTTTGGTCAAGGTTTTATGGACTATTTCCCAATTCTGGTCTCAAAGAGAAGAAGACTATCCCAACCCAATACTTGCAGAACTTACTGTGTATAACTCATTGGTCACCTTCAGCAGCTCTTCATGCATCTGTAAGCCAATTTCCTTGCTCTAGAACACAAAAGAAGAACAATAAAGAATCAAAAGATTAGTAATGTGTAAAGGAATCACGTTCACTGCTTCACATCTGGTACAGAAAAAGCAGGACTATTTGTGAGGAAAGAGAAACTATGTAAACACCATTAATCTGTAGTGAAAAGCATTCAGCTTCACAATACAATAGGAATATTTTCAATATGTTTGTGTTGCACAGAAATCTGGGCTTCCTGGGGGAAAATGGGAAAGCATGAATTATTTTTTTCCTGCATAATCACTGTACCAGGGACCAACCAAGGAGGGTAAGAAGGAGGAAAATTTTCCATTCATTCCTTTGCCTGCTTTTATAACCAATTCCAGGAGGCCAGGAGTGGTCAATCAGAGCAAGGGTAGGAGTCAGAATTTATTACAATCACCAAAGGGCCATGTTACTTTATATTGATGCTATAAACATATTTTCATCCTTTATTAGTTCAATAGAGTTCCTCCAAGTGTCTCAATGTTGTAATAACACTTTAAGTCTTTTGAAAAACAGAATATTATTGATATAATAGGAATCAGATAAGGGATGAATATACTTTCCAAAGAGTGCCTGCCCCATCAAGAGCTCATTTACTATGAAGCTCCCATATACTCAGAACTCAATTTGTCTTTTGGCTATTTCACCAGCAACCTTCTTTCCCTCTTCTCTTTTCCATAGAATACCTCTCGTTTGAGTAAGTACTTGGCAGCTTCAACATTTAATGCTATTTAGTTTAAATGAATAACAGGGACTCAGAAGCAACTGTTCCTGGAATCCACAGGGCATCTCAGCCACATGACCCAAGGTTCTCATTGGCAGCACTTGAAAAAAAAATCTATCAGGGCAGCGAGGTGATGCAGTGGATAGAGGACCTGAGTTCAAATCAGACATCAGACATATAACACTAGCTGTGTGACCCTGGGCAAGTCACTTAACCCCACTGCCTAACCAAAAAAAAAAAAAGAAAAGAAAAAAAATCTATCTTCACCTATTTCCAATCCAACTCTTCAATGGCCACCATATATGACTCTTGATCCATACTCAATTGCTGGTTTTCCCATTAAAAACAAAAGTCCCATGGATGTTTCCTTTTTTTAATCCTCCTGGCTATAAGATACAATTCCCACCCTACCCTCACCCCTAGATATCTGTTCTTTCTTAAACAACTCTTCTGAAAAAGGAACTGTTTAGACTAATCAATCTTATATAATTAGACATTTATCACAGAGCTTTTACCTTATGGGAGTTACACCTGATGACCTCTGAGGTTCCCCCAGATGTAAATTCTATCCTGTCAGCACATTTTAAGAAGGATCCTGATAAATTGGAACACGGCCAGAAGGGTGTTGGCTCGGGTGATGAAAGGACTATAGATTATGACATATGAGGTCACTTGAAAGAACTGAAGATTTAGTCTGAAGGACACATGACTTGGGGAGAGGGGGGTATGGCAGGGAGTGACGGTTCTCTTTAAGTATCCCAGCTCTGATGCTTTCCACCTTTGGACCTGGACGAATCACTTAGCTTCTTCCTGGCCTCAGATTCTTTATCCACCAAATTGGAGGGGTATACTTCTGAAGCCCCTTCCAGCTTTGCCTCTATGACCCTATCATCCTATCATCTATTTAAAGGGTATGTGGTATGAAAGTGAGACTAGATTTGCTCTGCATAGCTCAAGAGGACAGAAATTAGAAGCAACAGGGACGAGTTGTTAAGAAGACGATTTCCACTTGATAAAAGAAAAAAAAACCTTACAAACACTTAGGGCTACCCAAAATTGGCCTCGGCTGCATCTGGAGATAGTGGGTCTCTTCCCACTGGAGTACTTCAAGCAGATATCCTATGCCCATATGTTGGTGACACTGTAGTAGCCTTCTTCCTTAGGTTCAGATTGGACTAGAGCTTCTCTGTGGTTCCATTGAACTCTACAATTCTTCGATGCTGTGATCCCATCAGAATAGTTCAGACACAACTGTATAATTGCCTTCATAAGTCACATCTATATTCAGGGCCTGTTGCTATTTATGGCTAAATCTTACTCTCTAATCCCTGGTTTATCCCTCTAAGGCTCTGCCCTGCCCCCTGCACCCACTCAGCCCTACCTCCAATTACTCCTTCCCGATCTTGGGCTAGTCACTTAACCCTGGGCCTCAGCTTCCTCAACAGTATATAAATGGCATGTATGTAGGATGTTATTTCCTATAATAGTTGAGGTCAAGAGAGCAACATTCATTACATGAGATCCCCTGGACTATGTCTCCCACAAGGATTGGCCTACCTGAGAGCCCACAGAATTGGTGACCTTATGAGTCAAGGACTCTAAATGGCAGAGAGTACTCTATAAATGAAGAGGTTTAAAAAACAGTATGCCAGCCATGAGCGCACACAAGAGAATAAACAGCACAATTAGACACAGGCAGTCAAGATGTGGAGCTGCAGTCTGGGTGGAGAAACAATGTGCAGAAGTACTATATTATGAGCATCTACTGAGTTCTGGAGCAACTACATCTTCCCTATGCTAAAGAGTCATATGTATTGAAGAGAAGTTCTAATACAACTCTTCTGGTGGCATAGGAGGCTGAGTAGAAATGATGAGAATGTTTTGCTATCAATTTATTCACATTATTTTATGTCTTCATTAAATACTTTTGCTCTTGGACTTAACATGTCTCTAGTACGATCTAGCAATAGAAGGATACAACAGATGGGGGCTCAGGTCATGAATGAGTTAGTTATTACTTCACAATAGCCATGCTAAATCTCAGAGTAGCTCAGGGGAACTGCATGAAAAATGAGATAGCTGGACTAGATCAATTCCTAAGTTTCTTCCAGCTCCAGATTCTATGATCTTTTCCCTCCCATCCAGTCTTCACTTTATTCTCACAAATTCTGTTCTCCCCCTGCTTTCTTGTTCTCCTTTTCTTTCCCTCTCCTCTGCCATGCCTATTCCACACAGCTTCCCAACCCCCACATTACCCGATTTCAGTCTCCTCCTGTAGTTATAACTCCATATGTTGTCATGTGTTTATTTTTGCAAGAAATTGGAATGTAGATTTGAGTCCTGACCTCCTCTCCCAGCTCCTGCTGCTGGAATATCATATTGCAGAGAAGCAAGCACAGCTTCGAGAATGGCTCATCATTTGTCCTTGGCAGTGTGCCACCCTGACGCCTACCTCTAAAACTCACAATGGGCTGAGGCAGTCCTTGGGGCTGTTGTCCTCCTTGCCTTGTAATTACGCCAAACATTTTTCATGGACTATGTTTACTCCTAGAGCCTTCCTTTTCATTTTCAGAAAAGCTTAAAATAAGCATTCCCCAAGAAAGCAAAAAACAGCTTTTAGATCAGTGTAGATAAGATAGTTAGACATACACTAACACCCCTATGACTTCAGCTATCTGGAAGAGTCTGGTTAAGAGTTTCTGAATACCTGAAGGGAGACCTTTAAGCGCCTTGAAAAACACTCAGCTTTTTTGGGGTGGAACTGATCCATTCCACATTGCACACTTTCCATCCTTAAAAGTGTCATGGTATGGTAGGAAATGCACTGGATTTGGATGGAGAAAGCCCAGGTGCAAACATCAACTCTCCTGCTTATTTCCTGGATAGGTTGGAGAAGCCTCCTAACCTTGCTCAGATTGAGAAAGGTTTGGGACAAATCTCATCAGCTCTAAATCCAAAAGCAAACAACATACATAGAATAAAATTTAATTTTGATAACTCAAGGTTATCATTGTGCTGTGCTGTTAAAATCAGAAGGCAGGGTGGTCAGGTGAGAAGAGCACTGGACTTGAAATCACAGGACCTGAGTTCAAATCTTGGTTCTGATACTCAGTACACATAGAACCAAGGGTAGATTATTGAACCTCTCAAGGCCTCAGTTTTCTCATGTATAAAATGAGGGAGTCAGACCAGAAGTCCCTCTGAATTCTAGAACTTTGAGGGGAATGATACGAGAGATGAGCACAAGGCTGACTTCTAAAGCCAACTGGGAATTTGATTTTTGCAATAAATCCTTGCTGCCACCTGGCTTCTTCTTAAAAATTTTTCATTTGCCTCACTTACAAGTATAGAGTAAAGCCTGGTCAAGCTGCACTCCCTCTGATGTGGTCTGTCATTGCTATCTTTCTGCAAAGTGAATTACTCAGATGAAGACAGAGGCAGCCTTCCATTAAGTTTTCTGCTCCCAAGACAAAATCTTGCTTTATTATTTCTCTCTGTACCTGTTATTTGTTTGCTGCAGTCAGATCACTACCTGTTCTCCATTATTTCTGCATCACTAACACAATATGCCATGTTAAATTCCTCAACTTTAACTGTTTTTTTTATCTCATTTGCATCAAATTTGTAGAAGCAACAGGAGCAGATGTAACCTTTGACAACTAGGCATTTGTGTTACAGTGTTATTTCATAGCCTAAAAGTTCCTCACCCTCTTCATCAGAAAATAACATTCCTCCTGGCATCACACCCAATCAATCAATCAATATTTATTAACCACCCACTATGTGTTAGACACTGTGCTGAGTGCTAGGTATGAAAAAAAGAGGAAAAAGTCCCTGTCCTCAAGGAGTTACACTCAGTCAAAATATCCATCTAAATCTCTTTAATATTTGACTCTTAACAGAATCACAAGTACAAACAATTCAATTCAACTCAACATGCCTTTACCAGGCCTCCTACAGTTTGTCAGGCACTCCACTATGTGCTAGGGACACAAGGATTAAAACAAAACAACCCCCAGTCTTCACAGAACTTACATTCTACTTAGGGGAAGAAGGGGTGGAGAAATATTTTTCTTAATGTACATCTAAAATAAATGGAAACTATGTACAAAGTAATACGAACCTATTTGGGGAGGGAAAGGAAGGAGCAGGGAGGACATTAATAACAGGGAGAATTAGGGGAGGCCATTTGGCAGTGGTACCTAAGCAGAGCCTTGAAGGATGCCAGGAATTCCAAGAGGTAGCATTATGTGCAATAGAGAAAGAAAGGAA